AACCAGCTCTGCTGGGATGCGGTTGAGAGGGAAGATGCTGGGAGGCCCGGCCTACAGCTGCCCTGTGTCAACACACCTTTCCTGTGGCTGGGGTCAGTGTCGCCGCTGGCCTCCTCCTGCCTGTTCTTGGGTTTGCTCTTGTAGTTCTGGTGGCTAACAACCCACTTGAGGATGCTGGAAGCCGCAGTACGCCGGAAGTCATCTGGAAGAACACTAGGCCTCGCCCCCTCTGCCTGCCGGGACGCCATGGTTCCAGGGGCAGGTGGACCCCCCGCCTCCCTCCCACTTGACTGGCTGGGGGCTCAGGCCTGGAAAAGGCTCTGTCCTCCCCCTCCCCGCCATCAGCTCTCAACCCCTACCAATAGGCTTCGAGCCCCCAGCTCCACCAAGGACCACCCCCCCCAGATCCTACCAACACCCAGACCCCATCAACAGGCCTCACTTCACCTTCCTCCCAAGGTCCACTGCCCCATGTGCACCCTCACCACCTGTCCTAGCCATGACCACCAAGTCCTCTCCAGGGTCCTCTGGAAACCACCCCCCTCCCCATCAGTCTGTCCTCACTGCATCCGAGGGATGATGTTAGAAGCCCCTAAGGCTGACGGCACCAGGACCATGGTTCCCATATCAGGAAGGCTCCCCCACCCACCCCCACACACACTCCAGTTCTCTTCCCATCCAGGGGTCCTCCCTGTACCCACCCAGAAAGAAGGCGTCTCTGGCTGGTTCTGATCTCAAGGTGCACTGGGAAGGCTGGCAAGGCTGCTGGCAGCTTCCATGTGCCCCTGACACTGCCCCTCCAGACTCCGCCTCCACTCCCATGACCCCCCAATTCAGACATTGGTGGAGGTCTTAGACCTCCCCTACCCTAGCCCACCCATTCCAACAGAAGCAGACTCTCCCTCTTGTTGCTCAGCCTGTCCTGGACAGTGCTCACCCCACCCTCTTCTCACCTCCATGCTGAACAAGTTCCTGTTAACCCCTTAGGCTCCACCCACGGAATTCCTGCTGCTTCAGACCCCCTCCCTCTCAGCAACTCCTGCATGTGGCCCCCTGTCTTGCTCATCAGCCCCACCCCTTCCGGCTGGAATTTCCTGGCTAGGCAGGCTGTAGCCTCTGGCTTCCTGAGACACCCCAGGGTGCAGGTGAGTACTTGGGGGACCTGGAGTTCCCCTGGAGTGGACCCACCTCAACTGCTCCTCTTGGTTGTGACCTCCTGGTCAGTCAGGGCCCCTCCTCTCTAGTTCCACCAGGGTCCTGACGGGTGCCAGGCTGTGCCATGCACACTTCCCTGGACACCAGATGGAGATTTGGGCTGTCCCTGAGGTCAGCAGAGTGAGACAGGGACACCCTGCTCACAGCCCCCATTGATACTGGGGGAGCAGACCACACCGCCATTCAGAAGCAGTCTTTAGTAGAGGACACAGAGCAGGAAGCCCTGAGACCCAACGAGGGGAGGGGCTGTCCACTTACCCAGGAATTCCTGCTGCTCCATTTCAGTGCACAAGCCGTAACAGCGTGGGAAGAAGGAGTCGGGGTTGGCCTGGACGTACCACGGCAGGCTCCGCATGTTCACACACAGTCCGATCTCCAGAGACACAGGGGCGTCAGCGCCACCTCGCACGCACAACGCCACGCCGCTCCTGCTCAGCCTCGTGCAAGTGGAGGTCTGGCCATCACGGGGGACTGGTGTTCCCCGGGTCAGCCTCCCCCACCAGCCACACAGGCCAGTCTCCCCACCCCCCAGGTCCAGAGAAAAGCCCCCACCTCAGCCACACAGGTCAGTCACCGCCCCCAGCTCCAGAGAAAAGCTTCCAGCCCAGCCATGTTGGCCAGCCCCGACACGTCCAGAGGACAGGCCCCCCCACCCAGCCATGCAGACCAGCCAGGCAGGTGACATGTGTCCTCATATCCACTCAGATCTAAGACACAAGTGTGGCCCTGGGAATCACTAAGTGGGCAGGACAGAAGCTGGACAGCGGTCAGAGTTACAGTGTCCCCCTGCACATCTCCTGGGCCAGGGCACTTCGGCCCAGAGCACTTGGCACTGCTCCCCTCGCCCTGTGTCTGCCAGCCTCCTCCAGCTCTCCCTGCTTGCACCCAGTCTGCCTGCACACCCCACCCCCAGCCTTCTGCACAGCCCTGCTCCTCAGTCATGCATTCATGGGCAGCTGGAGGGGCATATGCCTGCTCTGATGCCCCAGACCCACTCTACTCATACCCTCCCACTGGTCCCAGGTGTTGGGCACAGGGCAGGACAGGGTCTGGCTGGGTGGACGGTGTTAGACAGAGCCTGGAGAGCTGGCCAACCTCCCTAGACATACCTGGTCACATCCACATAGCAGAACACCTGCCCCTAACCAATAGTTACTCTCCTTCTTCAGGTCCCCAGGGCCCTGGCCTGCACATCAGCCTGGGGCCCACAGCAGGGTAACCCTGAACAGTGGAGAAGTCTAGGGCTGACTCTTGCATTTTCAGGGTGGTGATGGGGTGGGCTTCCTACCCATACATTGAGCTGGGTCTCTCAGGACATAGCAGGAGCAGAGACCTCATCCCCAAGGCCACAATTGACCCCATACCCGAGGGAAGGCCTCTCTCTACCCCTCTGAATGGATGGCAAAGTGTAGCCCCCTGCAGACCAAGGGCTGCACCCCTGGCCCAGCAGGTCTTCAGGACAAGCTAACTGGACAGTACCTACAGGCCAGCTGGAAATCATGTGGTAACTGAGGTGCTCACAGTGTGCTGCATGCTGGGAATGGGGCAAGATGGCTGTGAGCTGGTGGGTGGTGATGGGGCTTGGCGGCAGGGAGGGGTGTCTTAAATCCTGACACCAGAGAATGGGAAAAGCCAGTTGAGAGAGGTGGGAAGGCAGGGGAACTGGAGGGAGTGGAGTGGGCAACCTCCAGAAGGGGCAGGGGACACAGAGCCAAGAGGCATAGAGGGCAGAGGTAGAGCTTGCTGGGCCTCCTCAGAGACAGGACAGGGGAGCAAACGGGGTGGGGGACCTGGCGTCCTTGGACCAGGAGGGTGACAACCAGGGAAGGAAGGCCCAGCTCCATGTGAATATTTCGGATGTGTTCTCAGATAAGGGGGAGCAGACAGTAACTGTCCTTTGTGTCTACTCCATTCAGCGTGCTGTCTTCAGGACATATCCCTGCTGGAGCTATGCATCAGGACTCCATGTGTCTATGGCTGAGTGGCACTCAAGTGTGTATGTTATGGGTTGAATTGGGTTCCCCAAAAGAAATATGGAAATCTCTCCCCTGTCTCTCTTGTTATGTTAATGAGACCATACCAGAATAGGTGGTGAGTGTTCCAACTCACACAGGGTTTCCGAGGCTGTAAATCTTTACGGGAGCAGGAAGCCTCGTCTTTCTCCCGTGGAATGGCTGGCATTTTCGAACTGCTGACCTTGAGGTTAGCAGCCCGACTCATAACCACTACACTACCAGAGCTCCTTATACCTGAGTAGGGAGGGTACTAAACCCAAATGCTTCTGAGTGGGGTCTTAGAAAGGAAAGAACAGATGCAGGGTCCCAGTGTGAGGACCTGCCTATAAGCCAAGGATGGCCAGTGTCTACTGGAGACGAGAGCCCCCGGCTGGAACCCCTGATCTCCAGAACTGTGAGAGAAGAGATGGCTGTGCGTCACTGCAGGCCACTGGTGCCCTCCCTGGGGATGAGTGGGGTTCAGCCCTCGCCCCTCGAGGTGTGTCCCCAACATTCCCTGGTAGGTGTGCAGGGCCCCACTCACCTTGGTGGTGAACGAAGCTGTCTTCCCGTAGTGGTTGAGCATCTGGTCGCAGTTCAGGCTGTGATAATCTACAATGTCCCTTTTGATGGTCCACAGGAAGTATGGCATTTCATGTTTTACCAACCTGGACTGGTAAGACAGTTCTTTCTCACAGGGCAGCACGCAGTCTGCTCGTTAGATGGAAGTGTGGGGTGGAAGGGAGGCCCCGTGGAGAGGAGCATCCAGTCCCCGACAGTCATAGAGCAGATTCCTCCTGCCCTCCTGGCTCCGGAGCTCTCCCACACAGTGGGCTGCTGTCCACCCTCCCACCCCAAGTATGCAGCCAGGGAGCCTACCATCACATCATGGATGTCCTCTGTTTTGGCAAAAGTCAGGTCTGAGTTCTCTTTGGATTCAGTACCTTTGTTCTCTGTAAGCAAAGCATGAGGTGAAAGGTCAGGGACAGTGATTGCTGGACCCTTGTTACAGGCAGACCCCCCTTATTGAGGTACCGTCCACTGTAAGGGGAGACGCATTCTGTCAAAACAAGCCCTTTGTGGGTGCTGCCCCTCCCCACCCCGAACCCCAGATATCCTGCCATGCCAGCATAGCAGACAGCATCATGGGGGAGGGGCATCCAGGGAGGGAGGGGTGTGATGTGGGAGAGACATCCCATGGTGTGTGATAGGTGTGTGATGGAGGAGGGGCATCCTGTGAGGAAGGGGTGTGTGATGGGAGAGGGGCATCCAGTGAGGGAAGGGTGTATGATGGGAGAGGAGCATCCTGTGAGGGAGGAGTGTGATGGGGGAGAGGGGCATCCTGTGAGGGAAGGGTGTATGATGGG